AATATTACAATATATAGCCAAAAAAAAAAAAAAAATCCTTGTAAGATCTGATAAAGATAACATTTATCAATGTTAATAAAATATTATTGAGTGCACAATAGATGTTATAAATATAAATATAATATAGGAATATAAAAATAAACATTTATCCATCCATTTACCAAACTGTTTGTCCTATGTAGGTCACAGGGATGTTGCCACTAAAACAAACATAAAAATTAAATAATAATAATAAAAAATAAATATATAACATATATAACATAATAAACAAACATAAAAATACAGAATAAATAATACATTAAAATAAATATAAAATAATAAAAATAATAAATAAATATTCAATATTGGCCTATCAATCAATCCATCCATCCATCCATCCATCTATCTGTTACATGAATGGTTAAATGTTGACCAAATACCTTGTTCTTGTTTCATATTAAAAGTGTGTTTGTCTACGTCAGTAAAAAAAAAGATGAGCTGTATTCTACATCCATCTAAGAAGAGCTGATCTGAATCAGACAAGGCTCGTAAGCAGCATTCTGCAGTTGCGTATAATTCAGTTATGCAATACTCTCGGGTACGACCAGTCAAGTTTACCGTTTTCTCTTCAGTAATATGAAGACGAGGGGAACAATAGAAACATTGTGAAATCCTTGAGAAGAGAGAGGGGTGGGATAATCTCCTCAGAACACTGAGCGCTCTGTGTGGACAAGATGTAACAATTCAAAACGCACACAATAGGGATTTAATTGAACTTCGTAGAAATCAATAGCTCAGCTTTGGTCCATTTCATTCCATGACAGAAATCAAGACTCTAACTTGAGGATGCTGGGGAATGGAAAATAGAGGGAGAGGGGAGAGAACGAGTGTGTGTGGAGAAGAAAGGAGATGGAGAGACGAAAGGAAAACAGAGAAAGTGGCAGTGCTCCCAGGAAACCCCTTTAGTGGCAAATTGAAAACTTGAAAGGCAGCTGATGCACTCTGAATGAATCTCTGTCCACGTCCCACAGCTCAAGATCATATTTAAAAAGCCAGAGTAAAATGGCAGCCTGACTTGGCAACAGCAACCCTGCAATATGACTCTTAAAGGTCACTAACAAGGTAACTTTGTCAGTAATCTCATTATGCTAATATTATAACGTGGTACAAAGCTTAGAAAGCACTACTGTATAGATATCCTTCATTCTTTTTTACAGTACTATGCAAAACCGAACTGAAGGTAATTACGTCACTGTTCTATTTGCACACTGAATTGCAAATAATCATCTTTCTTGCTTTTATTTGCATACTGAATTCTCACATAACTAGCCATGTACAGACTGAACACAAGCCACAGACAGAAAACGAGAATGGTCATGACAACAACAAAACATCTCTAACGTGGCATTTTATTAATCCAAAACCAACTGCTAAAATTTAAATTTACATTTACTCTCATGTAGTTCATCTTATCGCACATTTCTGCAATTAATTGAGCTCCAAACTACCTAATTTACTCCATCTACAACTCGTTTTGTAGATAATTTCAGCATTACATTTATTTATTTTCAGTGTTGGGGAAAGTTACTTTTAAAAAGTAATGCATTACAATATTTTCATTACTCCCTAAGAAAAGTAACTACAGGTGCATCTCAATAAATTAGAATGTCGTGGAAAAGTTCATTTATTTCAGTAATTCAACTCAAATTGTGAAACTCGTGTATTAAATAAATTCAATGCACACAGACTGAAGTAGTTTAAGTCTTTGGTTCTTTTAATTGTGATGATTTTGGCTCACATTTAACAAAAACCCACCAATTCACTATCTCAACTAATTAGAATATGGTGACATGCCAATCAGCTAATCAACTCAAAACACCTGCAAAGGTTTCCTGACACACATTTACAAAGCTAGCTAAATATGGACTTTCCACTGACATTTAGTGTTTTACGAATTGTTTAGCTTTAAACTTAGTGACTGAAGACTCAGCCTAACTCTAACCTTTAAATACAATTGACTTTTTAATTATTTATTTTTCTGATGTTCTTTTGGGTCAGTTCTTTTCCGCCAATAATTATTTTCATGTTATTGCTCATAATTGATTAATGGCTGATATTAAAATGTTATATTATTTTGTCTAAATAATAAATAAAGAAATAAATACAAATTCTAAAACCTAATATCGGTCATTTTAAATGCCACAAGTGAATTGATCAATTACAATATTACAATATATAGCCAAAAAAAAAAAAAAAATCCTTGTAAGATCTGATAAAGATAACATTTATCAATGTTAATAAAATATTATTGAGTGCACAATAGATGTTATAAATATAAATATAATATAGGAATATAAAAATAAACATTTATCCATCCATTTACCAAACTGTTTGTCCTATGTAGGTCACAGGGATGTTGCCACTAAAACAAACATAAAAATTAAATAATAATAATAAAAAATAAATATATAACATAAATACAAAAATAAACAAACATAAAAATACAGAATAAATAATACATTAAAATAAATATAAAATAATAAATATTCAGTATTAGTCTATCTATCTATCTATCTATCTATCTATCTATCTATCTATCTATCTATCTATCAAAAAAAGATGGTACAGATAAATCATGGAACCCAAATTTTACATGATTTGTCAAATGTTGCAGTTATTTCAATCCAATACGTTGTTCTTGCTTAATATTAAAAGTTTGTTTGTCTATGAAAGTAAAAAAATGAGCTACATTCCACATCCATCAAGAGCTTAGCTGAATCTGACAAGGCTCGTAAGCAGCATTCTGCAGTTGCGCATAATTCAGTTACGCAACACTCTCGGGCAGAACCAGTCAAGTTTACCGTTTTCTCTTCAGTAATATGAAGAAGAAGGGGGAACAATAGAAACGTTGTGAAATCCTGGAGAAGAGAGAGAGGGGTGGGATAATCTCCTCAGAACACTGAGCACTCTGTGTGGACAAGATGTAACAATTCAAAACGCACACAAAAGGGATTTAATTGAACTTCGTAGAAATCAATAGCTCAGCTTTGGTCCATTTCATTCCACGACAGAAATCAAGACTCTAAGTGAATTTTAACTTGAGGATGCTGGGGAATGGAAAAAAAGAGAGGGAGAGGGGAGAAAAAGAGTATGTGTGGAGAAGAAAGGAGTTGGAGTGACGAAAGGAAAACAGCGAAAGTGGCAGTGCTCCCAGGAAACCCCTTTAGTGGCAAAATGAAAACATGAAAGGCAGTCGATGCACTCTGAATGAATCTCTGTCCATGTCCCTCAGCTCGAGATCATATTTAAAAAGCCAAAGTAAAATGGCTGCCTCCCTTTGCAACTGCAACTCTGCAATATGCTAAATCTGCAAAACATCTCTAATGCGGAATTTTTATTTATCCAAAACCAAATCCTAAAATTTAAATTAACATTTACTCTCATGCAGTCACTAATCTAGTTCATCTTATCACACATTTCTGCTCCAAATTCTGCTCCAAACGACCTAATTTACTCAGTCTACAGCCTTACATTGATGTATTTTTAGTTTTTACAAACTTTTAATAATCTAAAACGGTTTAATCTCCCATTGATTTAATGCTCGACTGACATCCATTTAAAAGCAGACAATATATAAAATAATACAATAAAACTATTAATATAAAATGTACACTATTTTTTTTTTTTTTTTTTCAAAACAGTGACATATAAAAGCTATATATAAAATAATTACAAGTGAAATTGAGATGATTGTTATTGTAGACCTTCTTCAGAAAATCTGGCTCAAATAATCATAAAAAGTTAACCATTATTGGAGAACCTCCATCAACTTTCCAAATCATAATTTCAAAAAAACTGGCTATTCCTTTGCTGCTGTGGGCTTATTCCTTCAGGAAATGTACATCTAGGGCTGCACGATAATTCGAAATGGAATCGAGATCGCGATTCGACAGAAGCTGCGATTGTCCGATTAATCGTGCAGCTCTATGTACATCTAGCTCTTATTTTCATTCTGCTCCACCGAAGCGGAATCGTTATCATAATATAGTTACAGACCATTACAGTTATCGAATATAAATCCCACAAGGCCAGCAGAATGTGCACATAACAAAAAGTGTCTGTTAGTATGCTAAATTCCAATAATAAAATACAGATTTATCTTTCAAATGAACAGTCTTACTTAAATAGGAGCAGAAAATGATTCAAATATCCATTGTTTTTAACATTTTGTTTAAGGCTATGTTTCTAATTAGACTCTGTGGTATTTGTGGTATTAAATCTGAAATATCTGTGTCTGAAGCAAACCCAGTAGAGGAGTACTGTTTTAAAGTATTGACTTTAAACCTTTGATTTAGAAAAAAAAAAAACTTTTTATTGTTGTCTCTTTTGATGAGTTTTGAAGCCCTAGATGTGTCTGTGGTCAAAATACATTCATTTAAAACTCACTTATTGGAATTGTTGTGGAGAAGCCTGTCGTCCAGGTCTAACAGGGCATATGCGTGGTGAATCAGATGGCTGTTATAATGGATGGCGTTACTCCTGAGGGTGAGAAGACTCTGGCTGAACTTCATTCCCATCTCCTCCAGCTCCCGCGTCCCTGTCTGCAACCCCTGCGAGGTGAAGACATTCGAGATTGACAGTTGAGATTTATGATTGACAGACTGACTGATTGGGGCTGTCAAACTACATTTACAGACTTGTTTCTTAATTCTGGAGATGTTTTGTAAGTGGAGACATTTGCTCTGTGAATACTTGTACAAGAAAATATATGAATGACACTGAATTAAATCACAAAATGTCAGTAAACTACAAGTCAAGCTAAACATTAGACAAGAAGTTTGATTCAAAACAAAACAAATGACAAAAACGAATTAAAAAATGCAAAACAAACCAAAATAAAAACACAAAACAAAAAGAAAACAAAAAACAATGCAAAACAAATAACAAACAATGCAAAATAAAAACAAAACAAAACAAAACACAGAGCAAACAAAAAAAACAGGGCAAAAAAAAAAAAAACACCAAAATAAAAACAAAAACAAAACAAAATATAATAAAAAATATAAAATATAAAAATATAATCTCATATAATGCATTGTTCCGGAAACAACCATTAATGGAAATCCAGACACTAACAATATTTTCTGCCACTGGTAAACGAACACAGCGCAGGCATTGAAACGGTCATGCTTTTCTAGGCACACAAAACCCTGCAATAACCCAAAGTCCTGACCCAGTGGTTCAATGAGCTGTGGATTACTGCAGGTTAACAAAATCAATAAATCTGCTGTGTCTCCATGTTTCTTCAGCGCTCCACTCACCAGTGAAACCAAAACAAAGAAGCTTGTGGAGCTTTATTCTGCTCGTCCACGTCATTATTTTTGTTTCCATCAAATTCATGTTTCAATCAAACAAACCAAAGCATCCATATGTATTTATTGTATACAATAAATGTCTAGAAATAAACTAAGGACATTTTATAAAATATAACAAGTATCTATGGCTTTGACACAACATTATTTAGTTTTCAGTGAGTAGTCGACATTAAATATTTGTAGGAAGCTGACATGGCCTACTATACTCCATCTAAAACTATTTTAATCTGCATTTTATAATTTATTATAATTATTATGCATGCAGCTTTCATGGTTTCTAAACATTTTGGAAAATAAAATTCCATGATTTTTTCATTACTCTTTCCATTCACTCATAATTACTATTTTAATAAAAAATGATTTATAAATAGATTTATATAACTACTTTATGGTACAAATGTCTCCAATAAGTCATAATTGTAAAATCTAGTAAATAAACAGTATCTGTCGGTTCCCAGCTGTCACTTCCATGAATTTTCTAGGCCTAGACCATTTTTAAAATTACTTCATATTTCCTTGATGCGTGTTAATTAAAAGATACATAAAGAAACAATTCACTGAAATGTAAAATTATTTCAGAGGAGCAGTTGGGAAGATTTTTGGTGAAAAAAAAAAGCTAAACTTCAGTTTGTTCATATGATTTCAGAATGCTTAAACAAGTAAATTAAAAAAAGTAGTCAGAAGACTTAGAAAAACATGAACTAATAATAACAAAAAATAATGAATAAAAATTGCAAAAAATAATAAATAAATACACCTTGGTGACCACTAATACAAATATATACATATATATTTAGAATATATATGTACACACACACACACACACACACACACACACATACATATACATATATATATATATACCTAAAATCTATGAATGGTTGTCAGTGTTTTGAAAATGAAATCCAGTGAAGACATGCATCAGTGCAGTCAGTCATAAAATGAACAGTCTAACAACATGAAAACATGAATAATTACAAGCTGTTCCTTCCATATCATATCGATTCTTGCCCAAATAAAGTCTTTAACCTTGCCTGTTTCAACGATCAGTTTTCTACATAACAGTTTAACAACATAATGATTGCAGATTATTTCGCCAAGAAGCAGCTGCACCTGCTCGCTCGAGCATGTTATTAGTGTGTGAACGCTGCACGCTTCTCCTGAGAACATGCGGCGGCAAATCCCCAGGAGCCCTTCATTCACTGCAACCTCGGCCTGGTGAAATTGAGCCCGGTTTCACTGCAACACAATCTCCATTAGAGACAATTCATTAAGAGCAACCGTGGCTCGCAGGGTCATGTTGAAATCAAGTGAGAAAAAGGTGTCACAATTTTTACGATGAGCCACCCCCCATTATTTAGTCTGTATCTTTCACCCCGTGTGATACCGACATCCCTTCTCTCTCTCTCTCTCTCTCTCCCCATGCACGAGCCTTGATGCTGTAGATAAGTGAGTCTTGGTTGTGAACTCAGCAGGCCAGATGAGTCAGAAGGGAGTTAGCGTCAGCGCTAATAACTTACGAATCTCGCCACACTCTGGGGAAGCGGCCAAATTAATGGGAAGCTGTGTAAGGAAGAGAATGATGGGCGAGCAACACCAGGCACACCTACCCACACCTGACCTTAACATGATCAAGAGACACAGCGTACAAATGCATACGCATGTCCATACCGCAGACACAAACTCACTCTGTCAAGATGGCCGCAAACAAACAGACGTTTACCGCAGCATCGCTCTAACCCGCCAACGAGATTCTGAGGTGCTGAAAGCGAAGGAGAACTGCTCAGTATGTGTTCTGGGTATCGCTCTTCAATAATTTAGAGGCAAACCGGGGGTCACATGTGTAGAATGCATAGGGCCCGGGCTGTTTGCTCAGAGTCGAAAATCGATTCTCACCATGTTTGCATTGAGCTGACGCACAGCCCTTTAACTTCCGCTCGGATGTGATCGGTCATATCAGAACACTTGCTCTTGTGTGTTTCGAGTGGAAGCTGAACCATCTGCTATGCTTGCATGTAGCTAATTGCAAAATAAGTACAGCAAATACATTACATTAATTACATTCAATCGCATTATTTAGTGAAATTCGATAAATAGCCTAATAAATAACAACCATATCTAACATTGTTTTGTATTCAAAAATAAATAAAACACTGATATAACATGAATAAAAATGTGTTTTTATGTGGAAGAGCGTCTCGGTTACGTATGTAACCCTCGTTCCCTGAAGGAGGGAACGGAGACGTCACGTCGGCTGACCGACGAAATTGGGATCTCAATTAGAGGTGTGGCATCCTCCTGGGCGCTGGCTCGTGGCGCCTCGCTGGCAGATATCTGTAGAGCTGCGGGCTGGGCGACCCCTAAGTGACGTCGGGAGTGACCGACTGAAAGGGAACTTCAGATCAGTTGCTCATATGCAACATGTTCAGTTCAAACACTAAAACGTTCATCAGATGTTCATCAGAACAACATGATGTTTTGTGACATTTACTGTATGATTCAGAAGGCACATGAACCTGCTCTGTTTAGGATTTCAGATTTGCACACAGTTTTTACAGAATTAATTCCCATAAAATTGACAGTCGTTTTTTTGGGGAGGGAAAAAAAACAGGCCAGGCCAGTTTCAAAAACCGGGTTACAGAAGTCGTCGGCAGTGCTACACAGGATTTGCTCGAGAAGGATTTGTCATTTTGTTTTAGACCACACAATCAACAATGTCACCAAAGAAGTGTGTTTTTGGTTGCGATGGAAAGATAACCTTGGTCAACTTCCCAAAGAACCCAGTGTTAAGGGAACAGTTTGTTTCGCCGGGGCAGCAACAGAGCTGTGCAAGTATATTTGTTTGTTCCTGGCATTTTGGAGACTAATGTTTTATGAATAAATTAAAATTGTAATCAATAAAGTTTTTGTTACTGTTTTATTTATATCGATGTCACAGCTTGCAGATGATTGCTATGCAAAAGCTTTGTGTGCTTTTGAGTCTTTAGCTCCGCTTGTTGGCCAAGCATTCATGTCTGAGTCTGTGTCCTTGCATTATGTGTTGTGTGTCCATTTACAGAAAAGAAAAAAAAAAAAAAAGGATATTTGCAGGCATCAGAGCTGATTAACTGGTTGATCTAATTAAGTAAGCAAGTTAGTTTTCAACCAGTTAACAGGAATGTGAAGCATTGATTTAACACTTGCTGAGGCACTAAAGCACAACAAATGAAACACAAATATGACTCACATAATAGACGATTCCCAAACACAGACAAATACACACAGTTTGCACGCTCTTGTTTGCAAATTAACCAATCTAAATCACTGTGATCCTAGACTGTTCTATTTCTGTGTGACAGGGAGAGGGAAAAATAAAATAAAAAGAGCCACTCGCTCACTTATGCAGCAAAGCGTTTTGGTCGGTGGGGGCAAATTCTTTGTTTATTGGAGTGACCGTTTTTCCCTTTGATAAGGCCAGAGTTGAGGAGAGCCAAGCAGGCAGCAGGAAGACTGCCAAAACTGCATACAGGCATGGCAGCTATCATGCCCTTTCAGAGGGCCCAAGCCATTAGAGAGGTAAATTACCCCTCCTGATAGCTCTTATTAACTCTAAGCTAATCTCAGTGGCATACAGCTTGATCACCATGGCTCTGTGCCAGTGAATAGACTGGTATCAATCGCAGAAAATGGCCTCATGGCAGCACATTATTATTTTTTCTATTTTTCTATTTTATTGTTATTATTATTGGAGCATTATTGTTGGATGGATGAAAGCACATTCACAGGGATGTGAAAACTATATTATATATATATATATAAACATTGTTCAAGAAAAAAAAAAAGTCTAAAGGTCTATTCACACCGTGGTCAATAACTATATTGACAACTATATTAGCAAGCACATCAACGCACAATAATTGTCTGTTTATTATAATGTGCGCTGCTGTTATGTTGTCTATCACTTTAAACGTGCAAACTCTTTCAGGTCTTGGCTCTGATTGGCTGTCAATGTTTGTATCATTCATCAGCTGGAAAAAAATCATTCTGAAAGTGATTCCAACAGTATTTTTCCTCTGTGTCATTATTGTTATAGCTATGGTGTGGAAGTCCCTATTTCATATAATTAGAATGATTATAAAAACATTATAGTTATCATGATTGGTGTGAATGAGCTTTAGGCTTACAATAATAGTTTATATTTTGAATGGTTGAGAGCAGGGGCGTAGATTACGTGGGGGACGTGTGTCCCCCACTTT